GAAGTAATCGAAGCTGTAAATGGTTATTTTGAGGAGCTTGACGAATCAGTCTATAGAGATGGCATTAATAGACTGGAACACCGCTATGAGAAATGTATCAGCCTTGGAGGAGATTATGTTGAGAAATAAAAAAAAAAAATTTTTAAAAACCTTGTTTTTCTTGGTCAGGCCGGAAACTTATCAATCCACCCTCGTAAAATTATAAAATATATTTGAATCTTATAACAAGCCTTTTCATTGATATGTCACACGGTACAGTTTGGAAAGTTTTTTTTTTTTTTAATATCCTATTGACCCCCAAAAATGACCCTCATGTTCAAAATTAATCTATTTACGTTATGCGTCCGTGTTCGAGTCACAGAAATTCGTATGTTTACTAAATTTCAACTAAATTGGTCCAGTAGATTCAGAGCAAATTGACTGTGACAGACAAATAGACAGACACACGGGTGATCTTATAACGGTTCCGTTTTTCATTCGGACGTACGGAACCCAAAAAAAAAATTAGAAACGAAGAGATATTGGAATAAGTAGGAAAAATGTCATAAAAATCAGTAAGAAAAAGTAACGATAAAATGATTTGATGAATAGATAGTTGAATATGTGTTAGAAACAGAGCAGAGGAAGATGTGGGATGTTGCACTTTTCGTAAAATGTGGAGATTTAGCTCAGAATGAGAAGTAGTGGAGATGTTCTTGTCCAAGTCGTCTTAGAAATGACGGCGATGTTACAATATAAATATTCGATTGGATATATTAAGATGGTTTTTCTCTTCTTAATATTTTTTTTTTAATATATGTATTAGAGGTATTAGAAAGAATAGAAGGACAGAGGACTCTATGGAAGTCAGTAAGAAGTAGGCGAGATAGGTTAGTAGGACACCTTCTCAGGCATGAAAGTCTAGTCAGAGACATATTAAAGGCAGAAACAGGAGTTAGGAGGGGTAGAGGTAGACCTAGATTAGATTACTCTTCGCAAATAGTTAAGGATGTGTCTTGTTCTAGTTTTAAGGAAATGCGAAGTTTAGATCAGGATAGGAAAGAGTGGAGGTACGTGTACGTGTACGTGACATTATGATGATGATGATAATGATGATATGTATTAAGTTAAGCCAAAAATGTCATTATCAAACTGGAACTACCACAATTTCAAAGTAATACTGGAGATTGTAAATGAAAAGTAAATTATTTCTCAGAAACAATAAACGGTTTATTTAGTTACCCTACAAATTTTAACGCCCTAGGCCTAGCTTCAGGAGTGCAATATCCTTCATTCCTTTAAATGAATCATGCACTTATATAAAAGTTTTTTTTTTCATCGTAATATGAGCTAGAAGTTGCACTTATCCACCTTTGCTGTTAAATATTTTACGGAACATTGAAGGTCACAAGGTTGCAAATGAGTGGCAGTTATTATTATGCAATTATAAAACGTGTACCTATTGAGAAAGGCGTCGTATGATCTCCATTTGTCAAGGAGAAAGAAACACTGACTGTTTATTAATCAGCTCGAGTAACAATGGATTAATTACTTTATCTACGTGAAACGGGTCACATACACATAAAAGAACAATCAATAACTAATTATTCACGTAATTAATTAATTAATTAATCAATTCAGCAATGTCCTTCAACAGAAGTAGGTCCTTTTTGTACATAACTTTCTACGAATTGTGTACCTGGACTGGCCTACACTAAACAATAAAGGTCCTCAAATAGGAGAAGGACATGAACCTTGTGATTAGCCAGAATCGACTGTTATTCTAGCCATAAACTCAACAAGGGATGTAACTCTCTAAATAAATTAGATAAGAAGTAGAAATGTAGAAATNGAAAATGTCGACTGTGAAATGCGGAAATCGGGCAAAAGCTTTTGCAATTTTCATTGCTAATATCAGGGATTAACTTAGTTCAAATTAAAGCGGAAAGGGAGGCAACATTCAATTGACGGTTTTGCTTACAAGAATGCAACATTTTACTGTTAATATAATGGAAAAAATACACAAATTCAAATATGAGAATAAAACTGACTACTAAGTATGTTCGTGAGAATAAATCGCACTGAATAATCTTCTTGTTTAATTTATCATTGTTGTACGACTTTTGATAGGTTTTTGCTATTTAAGATATAATTTCGTAGTCACATCAACACGATCCCAGATTTAAAGCAGTAATTACTATTTACCTTGTCGCGTAAGTCCAGCGACATCTGCAATCGAAATTAGTATAATACTTAGGCGCTCAGGGTACTAAAGAAATAACTTTTACTGATATTATCTGCGTAGTACGTAGTAGTAATTTAACTTAAACTTTAATATTAATATAGAAGTTTAATCTAAAAATTTAGTAATGATCTATTTTAATTGTAATAATAATATAAATATACCAAATTGGTACGGATTGACTACCAAGTTTTCACTTGAAAGGGATAAGTATATTCCACTATTTATTGAAATAATGAAAACAATAGATCTTAAAATTTCCTACTAATTTCCAGTTTGTTATGTTATATTACAGAGCCTTCAGCTACCTTATTGCATAACAATATATTTTTCGTGTATGGAACACAAAAAATTAATTAGTTGGTGATGAAAAAGTAAAAATCCTGCTTGCGTGTTCCTAATATAGTTGATTAGGTATATATTGGATACAAGGGCCTAACGCAATTCTAAGGCATTAAAATTTATTAAGTACGCTTCTTTACTGAAGTGAACAACATACATTATGACCTCTAAGGTTTGTTGAGCTTTTACAAAATTCTATTTAATTAAATTATCCTATAGACAAGTGCTACACCATCAATTCCTGATTCCTTCAAACGGAAGCGCATGTTATTGATATTCCTACCTAGCTTATTTTTCAATTTAAAAAATAATCTACGAAATACTCGCAAATTATCTTTTATTTACAATTTGAAATTTCACCACATCGTTATGAACAAACCCACTCAAATATTTAAAAAAAAATAACTGATTGCTCCAAAGCAACTTAAGATACAAGGATGGGATTTTAAGTAAAATTTGCAATTATCATACAGGAATTTCTTTAAGTCAAAATATATCAAGGACTGTGAGAGTCTGTCATGGTTATTTATATTATTTTTCAGTTATGTATGACAGGATTTAAAACAGGAATATCCCATATCCTTAATTGTTTGTGAACAGTAATCTAATCTAGGTCTACGTCTACTCCTCTTAACTCTGATAACTTTTTTCGAATTTCTTGTCCCATTTAACATTAACAATAACCTTTTTTTAAATCTACGAATCCTATGTATGCGCTCTTTCTCCATTGTTACCCGCCCGTAAAGTTAGAATTGTCTCCCGTATTCCTCTATTGCTTCTAAACCCAAAATGTTGTTCCCCTAATAGTTCTTCCGACTCTTTTTACCATCCTTCTTCGTACGATTTTAGTTAAAATTGTGGAGCATGGGAAGTTAATTGTTATAAATTTCCCGCATCTTTCCCCGTTTCTCTTTTTTGATATGGCTACTTCACGTTCCGTTTATAGTCCTCCGGGACTTCCCCGTCTCTTATATGTGGCTAATTATCTTTTTGACTGTATTCTGTTAGAAGAAACTAGTCTAATAGTCCATTCACTAATTTTTGAATTCATTTGCGAAAACAATTTACAGTTTCAGGTGAAACAGGTTGAAAAGTTTAATCTCAATCCATTCATTTATCGGATATCGATTTTACTTCCGTTTGATTATTTATTTCTGTCATGCACCAGATAATACCCATTAATACCCACTTACCCGTTTTCCAAATCGTTCCAGTAGATCGAATTGCGGTTTACATCTGTACCATTGCTGTTACTGACAAACGGATGATGATGATGCTGATGATGATGATGATGTGAATGATTTTGTTGTTTAGTAGTACTACTGTCGATAATAACAGCAGAATGTTCGTACGACGACAGGAAAGAATCGCTAGATTTTCTTTCGCGTAAGCTGAACGAGCGCCGCAGCGGATTCGGGCTTACCACAGGGATACGCGACGTAAACTGCTTTTGCGACGAAGACTGGGGCGACGTGCAAACCGTGACCGTATCGCCGCTCATTGCTATCGCGGCGGGAGAAAATTACCTGAAATGGAAGGAAACACTTGTTAGTTTTTCACACAAGACGTATGCTTAATTTCAATCATAATGTGCTTGCATGACTGGAGGAATACCACGTTAAAAACGACGCATGTAATGTACGCACCAGCAAGGGCGGTTGGTACCTAATATAGATGTCCTGCAGAGCTAAAACACTTCCACAAATTAGATGTTTATGTATTTTTGCGATCTAGTTACTGCAGTCCATTTAGTGTCTCTACACCACCCCTGACACTAGCCCTTTTGTGCTAAGTCGTACACCAAATGAATTCTGTAGACTTTTCAGGATTACAACTGGACCTCAGCGAAGAGACCCATCTGAATTGCATCATTCATGCTAGTAAATTGTTCTGGCTACCTCAAACATTGTCTAGGGAGTGGTAGAGGTGACAGATTTGGTGTAATTCACCGAAAAATCGTCAAAACACAACTTCAAACCTTACTTATAATATATTGGAATTAGCCTTATCAAGAACTAGATAGGTTGGTAGGACACCTCAGGCATGAAGGTCTAGTCAGAGACATATTAGAGGCAGAAACAGGAGTTAGGAGGGGTAGTGGTAGACCTAGATTAGATTACTCTTCGCAAATAGTTAAGGATGTGGGCTGTTTTAGTTTTAGAGAAATGCGAAGTTTAGCTCAGGATAGGAAAGAGTGGAGGTACGTGTCCAACCAGTCTTAGGACTGATGACCTTATGATGATGATGATGGGGAGGTTTATTTATCCCTATCCACTTTTTATTTGCTCAATTACTGATTGTTCTGATGTGTATCCTGACGAATTGTAATCCAAATAATGTTAAACCACGCACTACCAAACATTCTTAGCCTTATCAAGAACTAATTTTGAAAAAATTGATGGATAAACATCTGTACAACGCCCATTTCATTCTGTCACGAGCCACCCCTGCGTACTAGTCCGTGTGCACCGGTGCTTTTAGGAGTCCCATCAATTAAGTACATCTAAAGAACAAGTGGACTACATTTGCATCATAGGTAGAAAACTATAAGAAGTTCTTCATAAACTGAAATTTGAACCCATTATCCTCCGCATTTGACTATGTCTGACTTCCATTTCTTACGAATGGCGGCATGGCCTAGACCATTGCTTAGCATTCGGGAGGACGCCGGTTCGATTCCGGGTCCGCCTGCCTTGGTCCAAGTTTTTCTGTGGTTTCCTTGGATCACTTAGGCAAATGCTGAGGCAGTAATATTCCACAGATAATCTTTCATTCTCTTCTGTCTTCATTTCTTCAGTCTCATCTTTCTCACCCGAACCACCACCCACCCATTCCCACAATTCCTGAAAGCAGGCTGAAGAGGGCCTTCCGGCATAGTCCGGAGGGACTGCCCGCCCACCAGCATTACTGGCTGGTGGGAATGAAACACCCAAATGTTTTTTTTTTTTTCGAATCATCATAATAAGATATAGTTATAACGTTCAAAATTGGCATAGTCCGCAATAAAACTGTCGCATTTACGTTCTTCCTTCAACATACGAACTAAATTAGAGCAATTACTGTTAGAACACCTACTTTTACACACGACAGACGTTGTAGAGAATATCATAAACATAGAAAAGAGATGTCAGGTAGGAATTGCAGCGGACACTAATAAAGAAAATAATAACATTACACCAACTAATGTGTAACAGAAAGAGATGCAACTTTTGGTTGCTTCATGCCTATCAACTGCTAATGCTGGCGGGCGAGAAGTCCAGACGGACCAGGCCGGAGAGCTGGGTAGAAGAACCTCTTCAGCCTCCTTTAAAGAACTATGGGAAGATGAGACAGGCGAAATGAAAACAGAAAAGAGATAGAAATTCCGTTAATAAAATATGTATAATCTACAACTTCTAAACAACTCTGACGATCTCAAATGTCTAACGTTTCTCAAGCGCAACAATAGATGAAGTTTATTTAAATTATAAGCATTTGGTGTATTCTATTTAAAATTAATAGCATGCAAATTATGAATCCGTTTTGAGACTTGTCAGCCCAGAAAGCGAAACACTTCCTCAGAAATGAAAGATAATATCTATTCTTTACGAGAATGCAATTGGGTTAACCAATCTTACTCGACGACGTTTCTACATACTAACTTGTTCCTGTTACTACGTATAATAATAAGTAGTAGAAGTTAATCTGGAGAAAAAAAAAGACTGTTCCTAGGCAGTTAGCTTGCCACTTAATTTAAATTATAAACACACCTCACCCACCGGAAGCTCAGTAGGTGCCTAGTTTACATTAATTACTTTGATATATTTAACATAATATGTGATACACTAGAGGTTTAACATTAATGGATATTAAAATTAGCATTTAGATATAACAATTATTTGTAGTTGTTTTAATGCAGAAACTCTGAAATTACTTATTAATAAATTGCACATAAATTGAAATTAAAAACAGTTTCTTTGAAAGCAGCTTTCATTGCTTGCATTAATGATTTAGTTTTTATATGAAACAAATTAAATTTAAAATACGTAAGGCCAAGTGCACAAGGCGACAAGTTTCACGATGTCTATAATAGTTTCGTTTAGAACATAGTTTTTGTTTATGTTTTTAGGAAGCTTTTTTCATTATTATTTACCAGGTATGTTCAAAAAAACTTCAGAAACAAATATTATGGAATGTTATTAACATACAGTTAGGATAGGTTAGGTTAACGTCTTTAAACAAATCATAAAGTACTCTAGAATAGCCTTTAGCAAAATGAATTCACTTGTATGTTTGCGAACGGTTAATATAGAAATTCGAAAAAGCTTGTTAAAGGTATCTGTTTGGAGCCCGACTCCGTATGGTTACGAAACCTAGACGGTCAGCGCGGAGGAAAAGAAAAAGTTAGAGGCGATCGAAATGTAGTGTTACAGCCGAATGAGGAGGATACCCTGGACAGAGGGGGTTAGAAGTGGAGAGGTGTTAGAAAGTTTAGCAGTCATGGAATAATAAAAAAAGACAAGATATAAGTTGATAGGACATCTTCTGAGACCTAGATTAGATTACTACTCATAAATAGTTAAGGATGTAGTTTTAGGAAAAAGATTATCTCAAAATAGGAGGTCCGTGTCCAACCAGTTTTAGGACTGATGACCTTATGGCGATGATGAAGTGTTTTAGAAAAATCTTCTTCAAGAACTTGTCGACACTATTTTGGATTTCTCTGCTACATGGGGAGGTTTAGAAATTCGAGAAAGGTTGTTAAAGGTGTATGTTTGGAGCACGGCGTTGTATGGGTGCGAAACATGGACAGTGGGGGCGGCGGAAAAGAAAAGGTTAGAAGCGTGCGAAATGTGGTGTTATAGGCGGATGATGAGGATATCGTGAGTAGAAAAGGTTAGAAATGAAGAGGTATTGAAAAGAATAGGAGAACAGAGGACTCTATGGAAGTCAATAAAAAATAGGCGAGATAGGTTGGTAGGACACCTTCT